GGGAATGGCCCAGGCCAGTCTTTTCCACTTTGAGTTTCTTGGGATTCTTCAGGTTTTATAAACCATAGCTGGAGATGGTCTTAAGATGCATATATCTATATTACATCTTAAAAAACCAAAACGCAGTTCCATGTAACATGGAATTAAGGGGAAAATGTTTGTATGAGGAGATTTTAGCTGCTTCTAAAACCGTTTGGTGTGAATGTACAATTTTGGTGTCTGTATGTAGCGTGTGCATTAATGGACTGACACTTAAAGATGATGTGGGGGAAAAATGTTTGTATGAGGAGATTTTAGCCGCTTCTAAAACTGATGTCACCTCTTCCTCACTCCGTTTTGTGTGAAAGTACAATTTTGGTGTCTGTATGTAGCATTAATGGACTGACACTTAAAGATGATGTAAGAGTACATCATTGCAGCAGCACCATACGTCTTTGTGTGTCGCTTCTACATGTCAGTGGATTGGATGATAACCCTGTTTTCTGCAAGTGACTGCTCTTTTGAGTCCCAAGTGTAGCAGAGCCCTCTTAGTTCTGCCAAAGCAGAGTCCAGTGTAGTTAATCCTGTTGCTCAGCCTCAGGGTTGGCCAGAGATGTCTATTTTTTCATTTCTGAAGTTTTGTGCTGACTGCGTCTAGAACTTCTATTTGACCCTTCAAACACGTTTCCAGCCCACTGGAGACACGCTTGGATTTGAAGCAGTGCTTATTCAAAAAGAAAATTCTGGTAGCACACACATGAAGAGCTCTGCTTGGGAAAAGGCTTTTAGATCAATGGTAGTCCCGTGGGAATCTCTGACTTTTTGCACTAACAGTGGTGCCAATACTGTGATTTTTTTATTAAGAAAAACCTAATGGCTGTTTCCTTTCTCCTTTCTCCCCCCCTTCATATCTGAATAACAATGAAAAGTGGAACTTCCTATAATTAAAAAAATTATTACATGGAAACAAGATGAAAAAATACCGAAGTTTGGAGAAGTGGGGGTTTTAGTGTATAATGGTGGACTTTTAAGAGGGTTAAAAGATATTTGTGTATATTTTGGGAACCTTGAAATGCCTTTTGTCCAGTTATCATGATATAAATGTATGAGTAGCAATACAACATATAGTTTTAAAGGTGCACAAGAATATACAATATAATTGTAACTTGAGAGTTAATATTTGTTAAACTAGCTAATAAAGCCAGAGATATTTTACTCTGCTGTCAGGTGCTGCTTCGGTCATTCTCCTTCTCATCCTGTGCTGCTCCTGAGCATCCTTTGTATTTTTAAGTGTTCCATTGCTTCCCCAAGCACTTTTTTGGCTGAGGGATTATTTCTGAGATGCCTTTTTGCTCCGCTGGCAAGGTGCGATCCATTCAATACGTGAGTCAATGCTAAAATATTTAAAGAATATTCTTTGTAAAGAAATTTAGTAGCAGGTGCTTGTAGCAGGACAAGAGCGGGGGAACTGTAAAGCAGAATAAGTAACTCATCATGTTACAGTGTTTTCTCTTAGACCCTCCCTCACCTCAGGTAATTGCTACTTGGAAAATCACTGTCAGGAGGTAATGAATACTGCACAAAATGTGCGTTCCCAGCAACTTGATTGCTGCAAGTTAACGTCTCAACTTCGTTAAGATGCTGGAAATTACAATGAACTTGCCTTAGGGTAAAACACATTAAACAAATCTTTGGTCTTGCTTCATGACATGGGAAACCCCTAATGCAGTTTTTGGCACTGAATAAAACGAAGCGGCAAATGGAAAGGGGCAAGGCTTTTCCTACATGGACACAGAATGAGAGGATTTTCCCTGGGAGTGCAATGAAAACGTTGAGAAAACGGTTTCCCCCATTCCCAAACTTCAAGAGTGCTTCAAAAACTGCCTAAAAAAGGGGATGCTGACAAAGGGGAATGGTGAATCTAAATCCTGAGCTGATAGTTTCCATGGATCATAGCTCACAGGTGCCTTTGAGTTGCAGAAAGGGAAAAAAGGAAAAAGCTATCAAAGTAAACATCCTTCAGTGCATGGGAAGATGACAGATTCTTTCTAACAAGATTTTCTGCTCTCCTGGAGGAAGACCATTTGTTAATAAACCATTTGAGAATCCATTTTTAAGGGATTTAATAAAATATACACAGACTGCCTTCCACTGCAGAAACTATTATTCCCTTGGGTAGAAAAAGTGACTGACTGTGGGCATTAATGGTTGCTTCCTGTGATTCCTGGCATTATATCTTGCTCCCATTTGCACTTTTTCAACCCGAAGTGAAATATTTTTTTATGAGAAACCTGCGCTTGGTTCCTAGCTCTTAGGAAGCGTGTGTGTGTGTTCTATATTTTATTTATTTCTATTCAGTCATGTCCGTAATTCTCGTCGTTTTAGTGTCTGTGCCTATAGCATGGCTATTGTGTGTGTTTGTGCATATTTTCCTGGGTCCAGAAAAGTTTCCATATCTCACAAACTCCATTAAGTGGAAGAGGTAATAGCTTTTGTGTGAATTAAATGAATTGTTCCATTCTTGCCAAAGATTTTCATGAATAATTCACCTGTTTCCATCAAAAATTGTAGATTTTTCTATTGTGAAGGTTGCTGTCAATTAAAAAAGGAACTTGAACCTATTATGGTCTCATAGATCCTTCCCTGGAGGGACTGGGTAACCCACAAAAGAGAAAAGATGTTTTCTTATGAATTTGGAGGAAGGTTTTCTACTGCCATCTTTCCAACTATGAATTTAAGTTCTACTTCTTTCGAGTAGGAGAGAAATACAGTGGCATTGAGGGATTAAGTAATTTTGGTAGGGAATCTTGCTGTTTCTGAGACTGTCAATGGGCTTTGGTTCTCTTAAATTAGGAAAACAAGGGTGTGTTTGTGAAAACTACCAGTTGATTTCAGTGGCTGAGATGAGGAGGAGGAGGAAGTCAGGGACAAGTGACCCTTAGAAGTCAAAGCATGGATAGTTTTATGTATGTAAATGTAAAATTCAGTTATATCCCAAATATGTCCTGTCTGTGTTCTCTTCCTGCGAGGTAAACAGCAGGTAGGGCTGGCCGGGAGCTCAGCACAGACTGCGCAGTGAATGCCCAGGCAGACATTAGTTTCACAGAAGAAAGAATGAAATCTGGAAAGCTAATAATATTACAGCCACTGGCAGCTCTAACAGATCCCAAATGGATGTACTTACAGGCATAAATTGTTTGATTCTTTTCTTTACCAGAATTATCTCCATATGATATCCAAGAACTGAAGAGACAGTGGCAGGCTGGGGACGGCAAGATGGACACTCATTGCTCGGTCATAGTATTACGACCTTTTATATAAAAAGAGATTACAGACAGGATGCTGCCAGGAAATGACAGGGCTGGTAGAGAAAGGGACAAACAGTAGGACAGACACATTTAGAGAGAGAGATGATTTATTCGACAGTAACATCTGCGTGTGGAGGAAACTGTTCCTACTGTTCACACTCTGTGCTTGCTTGAGAGTGGTGTCGCGTAGGTAGTAAGCAAGTGTCATTCCCTGAGACTCACTGGCTTGAACAAAGCTGGTGAAAATTCAGGAATAATGTAGTACTTGTCCCCTCTGAACCACGTGGACCTTGAAAGGAACCGATCCAAACACTCAACATCAGAGAATAAGCTCAGATCTTTAATGCTGAGAACGTGAAATACGCAAGGGTTCTTGTAACAGTTTCCTACAAATTTGCAGGTGTTCTCCCTGTGAACTCAAATGTGACAGCAATTAGTTACCATCATTTCTGCTTCACAATAACACTTAAACTGTATATTTGGACACGGGACAGATTAAATTTGTAACACACAAACCATTCCAGACCCTGAGATCTTGGCTGGAGCACATCAGGAAGGGAAGGAGGTTGGAGTCAAAGGACGCTGTGGCTTTTTGAGCAATGAACTGTGGCAGGGGCAGGTTCCAGATGGAGCAGTTTACGTAGCCTGAAGCAAAATACTCAGAAAGTCTTTGGTGAGTGGAGTTGAGGGAAATACAGACAAATTAAGAGCATAACCCTTATTACAGAATGTATGAATTTAAAATCTCTGTATGTATGAAGCTCAGTAACAGTTCTGCACAACTGTTAACAGTACGGTAATGGACAGCGAGAATGAAATGAAGTGTTTACTTCTGTCCACTGAACAAGATCTACTCAGTTCCTTCTAAAATGTATTGGTTGCCTTGCTCTTGTCTTGAGGGCAATGCTGTGCACTTCAGACAGCCATGGCAGGTGAAGGAGTGACTTTTTTGCTCCTTTTCTTGATAAAATTCAGCCTAGAAATTGATGAGAAAAGGGCATGTGATGATTGCCGACTGCAAAATGATCCCCACCTGTCCGACTTCAGTTTCTGTGGAAATTTTAGACTTTGCTTTTTGTAATACCATACACATTTTCATTATGTTTGAACTAAATGTGGAACAAGCTTATTTGCTTGTAAGATTTGAACATGTACTGGAGTAAAATGTGCGCCGTTCAGAATCTGGCAGATAGAACAAAGCTGAGAGGCCCTTCAAGAAGCAGAGGAGGCCGTTGATAAATCCTATGTCAATACCTCCTCCCTCAACTTATCTATGTAAATTTTAAAATATTGAAATATGTTTGAAAGTTAAAAGTATAAAGGCTTGTTTCAAATTAATTTAGCATTTGCTTCCGGTTTTACTTACGGATCTCTTACTTGGTAATTAGAAAAACAGGTAATTTCTTTGAATGACATTTCTCTTGCTTTGAGGAATTCCGGAGGATGCTTTTTAGTGACTGCTCTTATAGATTTAGAGAGTTGTACTTTGATAACTCAAAATCTGCACTGTCTCTAATTAGCAAAACTAGTGGCTACCATGTTTGCAAAGTGTTGCATGGCTATGGAACAATGTAGGGAAATTTGTATTCATAAATCCAAAACCTGAATAATCTAATTTCCCAAAAATAATTGTCTATGTGTGCTTTATTTGGATGGTTCAAGTGATTGACCTTTCATTACAGCTCTTCCTGATTTTTTTCTGTTTGTTTTCAGCTGTTGGACAAATTAAAAGATCGCTGGATGCACACCGGCTTGTGGAGGAACCTGGAGCTGGTGAAGACAGTCATTGTGGAGCCTCAAGGAGGGGCAAAGAGTGACTTTGATGAACTGCTGAAAATATACTATGATGCAATCAAATGTAAAGGAGAAAAAGGTACGTTCTTCAGACATACAAAATAGTTGTTACAGACTCTTCAAGTTAAAAAAAAATCTTAATATGCTTAACAATTAGAATAAGGTGTGGATAAACGGTTAAATTAGCCTGAGCTTAGTAAGTTATTGTGATAAATGAGGAAGACTGACTGCTATTTATACCATTGCATGAGAATATAGAGAAGTGTAGGATGATGCATAGTCCTAACAGTGGTGTTCAAGAGGCAGTGAGCTGTGTAAGGGTGTGCAGTTGTGTGTCCAGTGGGGCTCAGAGCGTCTTCTCAAAGAATCAAACTTACAGTGTGTTGCATAGCTGTCATTTGCCATCTTATATTACAGCCACTATAACATTTCTCCTCAAAATATTTAATTTAGTGGAAAGAATAAAGAATGATAATATCTCAAACAATAAGTAGCATGATTTTTTTAGTGCAAAATTAAGATTTAAATTTAAAATTTTGTTGTGTTGCATACGGTTCTTGCATAATGAAGAACTGTTCTGATTTTGCTAGCTGATAATCAAAATCACAACAGTATTGATAAAAGCAGAGTTACTCATCCCTCTATAAAAATACAGACTTCTTTATTATCCACTCACCTTTTCCAGACTGATACACGGTGTATTATACTATATTACGTTTAGTGCTTTAAAAGATGTTGGTGAAACTTTCTTCTGCTGTGACTGGGAATGATTTGTATGTTCCTCTCTGGCTTGTTTAAGATGGAGCCCTCCTTATAGCCGTGTGCAGAGGAAAAGTTAGTGAAGGCTTGGATTTCTGTGATGAGAATGCCCGGGCAGTTATAACCATAGGTATTCCGTTTCCAAATGTGAAAGACCTTCAGGTAGGATAATAATTGAAAGACTTTATACTTTATTTTTATGTCATGTTTAAAACACCAAATATGCACAAAATATTTTTTTCTACATATTTACCTCTGGACTGTGCTCGATCTCATTTGAATGCTGGAGATATTTAAAATTTTTGTCTGACATTGTTAGAGAAGACTCTTGCATTAATGAGCATTTTAACAACTTCATACTCTGCCAAGCAACAGTCCATGTTTCTGTTTTCACCTGTTTTGATGCACCGAAACTTACATCATTTGTATAGAAATTAAATTACTTCCTGACTTTTTACCTTTGTGGGGCATTTGGATGTGAAGGTCTAGGATAAACACTGGGAAAATACGACTTTAAATAAGGCGTTCGGATCAATCAAAAGATTCTTTCAGAAAATAGGTGGAAAGATAAAGGTAGTTATAGTGTAAAATAATAACATAATGAAGCAAAGTATTTCACACACTAGATCATTACTGATTGCAGGAAATCACCTTTCCAATTACTGTTGCCTTCTTTCTCCTCAAAATATTTAATTTAGTGGAAAGAATAAAGAATGATAATATCTCAAACAATAAGTAGCATGATTTTTTTAGTGCAAAATTAAGATTTAAATTTAAAATTTTGTTGTGTTGCATACGGTTCTTGCATAATGAAGAACTGTTCTGATTTTGCTAGCTGATAATCAAAATCACAACAGTATTGATAAAAGCAGAGTTACTCATCCCTCTATAAAAATACAGACTTCTTTATTATCCACTCACCTTTTCCAGACTGATACACGGTGTATTATACTATATTACGTTTAGTGCTTTAAAAGATGTTGGTGAAACTTTCTTCTGCTGTGACTGGGAATGATTTGTATGTTCCTCTCTGGCTTGTTTAAGATGGAGCCCTCCTTATAGCCGTGTGCAGAGGAAAAGTTAGTGAAGGCTTGGATTTCTGTGATGAGAATGCCCGGGCAGTTATAACCATAGGTATTCCGTTTCCAAATGTGAAAGACCTTCAGGTAGGATAATAATTGAAAGACTTTATACTTTATTTTTATGTCATGTTTAAAACACCAAATATGCACAAAATATTTTTTTCTACATATTTACCTCTGGACTGTGCTCGATCTCATTTGAATGCTGGAGATATTTAAAATTTTTGTCTGACATTGTTAGAGAAGACTCTTGCATTAATGAGCATTTTAACAACTTCATACTCTGCCAAGCAACAGTCCATGTTTCTGTTTTCACCTGTTTTGATGCACCGAAACTTACATCATTTGTATAGAAATTAAATTACTTCCTGACTTTTTACCTTTGTGGGGCATTTGGATGTGAAGGTGTAGGATAAACACTGGGAAAATACGACTTTAAATAAGGCGTTCGGATCAATCAAAAGATTCTTTCAGAAAATAGGTGGAAAGATAAAGGTAGTTATAGTGTAAAATAATAACATAATGAAGCAAAGTATTTCACACACTAGATCATTACTGATTGCAGGAAATCACCTTTCCAATTACTGTTGCCTTCTTTAGTGTAACTATCTGTATGGCACTTCCCACTGAAACAGAAAGTGGAATTGTAAGCCTTTTCCAAGGTAATGCTGCTTTATTAGCTTGCAGTTTTGGGGTTTGAAATTATGACAGAATGGAACCTCTTCCTGGATACTGAGGTCATTGCTCTCTTGGTTATTCAAGCTTCACCTACTTTTAGGCAAAAAACTTCTAAGTGCCTTCTAAAGATAGTATCCTGAAGTGCCTCCAATTAAAGGAATTTGAGACTTTTTGGTTTTTTCAGTAATTTTCAGGCTGAATTAGCATCCTGCTTCTTCTTTCCTTTTGACTTCAGCAGGACTTGTCTTATGGATAGATGATGTTCCACTAGAACAGGCACTTCCTAGTTGAAGCCAGGCATTCATAAAGGAAGAGAAATCCAATGAATATGAAAAAAATAGTTTCTAGACTTTCTTTCTACTTACTGAGAGAGAACATTTATTATTTGCTAGTTTGTAAGACCACTTATTTTTTAGAGGTCTGGGCGTGCCACTTCGGTAGTCACCCAGTTGCTGGCAAACTTCTTCCCAGTGATAAAGCTACTGCTTTATCTTATGTTTGCCTTTTAGAGCTTCTTGGGCCTACTTTGTGAAGCTAAGAAACAAAGTGAAGTATCACAGAATAACTGACTACCCAGGAACAGCTGGATTCTGGTTATTAGTGATGCCAAATCAAACAAGAAAATTGTGGGTTTGCACTTGAAAGCCCAAACAGACTCAGCTTTGGGTTTAGAGATGTGTTCTGAGCTTAAGTGAACTACCAAAGACTTCTTTGTTGTCTGCAGCGTGCACCTAATTACAGCCTGGGTGGAAAAAACCCACATCCTATAAGGACTCATAAGGTTATATTGGTGGTGGCTGCCTGCTGCAATGCTCTTTCAGTGCCTGAATAACTGTCTTGAAGCACTTAGCCCCTGTGTTTTTTATCTTAGTAAAATATAATACACTGGAGTTGAGTATAAAAACATTTACATTCAAAGAATACTTAGCACCCTTTCTAGAGTTAGAAATACTTTGTTTTAGAAGCACGCGCTGAAATGATATTTTGGAAATACTTGGTCTGTAGGAAGCTGGAACTCTTACAAGTTACTTCAAATGATTTCCAGAAAGTCAGTATTTTCGTGTTCTAAATGTTACAGAGTTAAATTGAAAAGAATGTGTCAAGAGTGAATTATGTTTGCAGTGGATTATGTTCCTTAAGATTAAAACAGTGTATTTGATTTTTACCTGGAGTTCAACAAAATATGTAATATAATAGAATCACAGGCAGCACATCCCATTAGTGATAACTAAATTCCAAAAAATCAGTGTTGTGTTAAACTATATTTTTTAATTAGACTGAAAAAACCTCTAAATTTTTAAGTAGGGATAGAAACACTGGCTGCCAAATTGCAGGCGGCGAAAGGTTTGAGTGTGTATATTTAGATATGGTAATGCACAAAGCTCTGCAGTGATCAATTCTAGATGAGAGGAGGGCACGCACCGGTCTCTCGGCATCAGATTTGAGGAGCTGTCTGGTGCGTGGCAGCTCTCCTAGAATAGTGCTGGGGGAATTGGGCTTTATTGTAAATGTGTCTTTTGCTCAAGAACTTGGATCCGAAGCGGTATCTGGCTGGCAGTACTTCCCTTAAATTGAACCATGTTTTGTTTTATCCAAGGCTTTAGTTTATCAGATACCCCAAAAAGTTCTGGATTCGTGCACTTTTGTTTTACTGGTTGAGCTTAATTTCCGTGCAGAAGGATAGAGTGAAGGATAGTCACTCTGTTTGCTGAAGAAGATTAATTAGTAGCTTTGTAGAAACGTAAGCATAGATACAAAAGAAATTCAGAAGATTAAGCATCTTTTTCAATGGCACGTCAGCTCAGGAAAGGACTTGAAACTATATTTTTAAGGAAAACTGGCTGTTGATAGTGAAGATTGGCATGTAAAATTGAAAATATAAAGAGAGCAGGGGAGGGAGAATGGGACAAGACACCACTTTTCACCTGAAACTATTCTTTTCGTACGTTTCTGGTAGAGCTAATCCATTATACTGAGAAGATCTGAATTCTCCCTTCCAAGAAAAACTGAGTGGTTTTCTTTTAGGGTGACTGATTTTATTTTAAATGTTTTTCCTATTGGAATTCTTTTTTCTTCCTGTGTTTAGAAGAATCCAGATTTTTAAGCACTAGAGGACACTGTACAGTTTGGGTTTTTTGTAGTATTTTTGAATGCGTTAAGTTCCCAAACTAAACACTTAAATTTTATAGGATAGTTATATTTGCTGTTTTGATGCAGTTGGTTAATGTTTCTTTAGGTTTTGTAGCTAACCTGAAAATGGATTAAAACCTGAAAATTTTGAAACTTCCAACTTTGAAGAAAATTCAAAACACAGTGACACAAGTCAAGTTAGATCTCTATAGACATAGAATTATGAACACAGGTACATCTGTTGCTTTTATATAGCAATAGGTGCTTAGAAGATATACCAAACAAAGAAACTGGTAAAATGATTAATAATGACATCGCTTTCAAAATAGGAAATGCAAGAGATTAACAATTCCCTTGGAATATCCATGAATGTTATACTTCTGGGATTGGTTTAAATCACTAAAAAGTGCTCTGCTTCTACATGAAAATGCACTTGCCTGTCTGCTTTTTTGGGTTAATAAAAGTCCTCTTAAGACTCAATTCCATAACCCCTTACTCCTGCACACAGCTTTTACTTGTGTGAGTAATCCCTTTAATACTTCTAGGACTGAGCATGATCACAAGGGTTTGTAGAATTGTACCTTTGGAGACCAATATTTTACATTGGCAGTTTGATGTTGGCTCATCTCCACTAATATTATTTGTCTGTGATCAACCTGCTTTCTAAATATGTTTTATGATTTGTAACTCGATGCTAATACCAGTGAACTGTAATATTAGAGAACATAAATAATGTGACAGAAAAAGATGTGTAATCCCAGATACATGTTATCTGATGCGAACATACTATTCATTAACTTCTGTTATATATTTTGAATCGTAGCGTTTTTGGATCCAGACATTGGTCTTTATATGGGCAAGAAACTCATTGTCAAGTGTGATGTATAATATCCAATTTTATTTTCTCCATATGTTTGTGCTAAACATATGCCACAACTTCTGGTATTAAACGGCAAGTATTGGGTCTCCTTAAGTAACTGTATGCTTTTATAAGTTACATTATTTTCTGTAGAACCTTTAAAGAATATAGCTTAGTTTCTTTTCCAGTTGCCTCTTTAAAAATTTGAGATACGTAGTATCTTCCATTCACTCCTTTCCACAAAGGGAAGAGTCTAAATCACTTTGTTGTAGTATCTTCCGTTCACTCTCCACAAAGGGAAGAGTCTAAATCACTTTGTCAGTGTTAGAAAGAAATGATTAAGGCTCAGAAGTGTACTTGATAATAAACAATGCTGATTTTATAAAGAGAGGTCAAAACCCTAATTCTGTGTT